TAAACTRAGTTTCTTGGTTTTTCTTGCCTAATCTTTGAGGGAAAGGAGGAATCAGGGCAAAAGACGAATTTTTTTGTGGAGAGGCGCTAGGCACGTCCCCCTCACCCGAGGTGTTTTTTTCTTTCTCTGCTTCACTAGGAGCATTTTGAATTGATGTGGAAGGTTTCTCTACCTCAACCGGCATCTTTGGTCCTTCGTAAGACAACCCATTTCTCAAAGTTACCGCCTTGCATTGCTCTTTTCCATCTCTTTTTGGAACTTCAGTTTGTCAAGGAAAAGTGCCTTGCGGTCTTGCCTTCAAATCATGGCAAGTTGTCCCATTTGCCTCTCTAAATTTCTCATCGATGTATCATTTCGAGCCATGTACTCCATCATGTTCTCGAGGTTAGAATTATTATTCTGGGCTGGCTGAATTGGAACTTGTTGATTCTGAGTAAACTGCTATGGTGGTAGTGGATTATTCGGGTAAGTAGGTGGAACATAGGGCTGCTTGTATTGCTGGTTCTGCCCTTGGGTCGCTCCACTAGAACTTCCTTGACCTCCCCATGAAAAGTTGGGATGATGTCTCCACCCCGGAATTTACGTGTTTAAATAGGGGTTGAAGTTCTGATTGTTCCCGTGACCTACATAATAAACAGAAGCTGGATTATACGGACAATTCTCATAAACATGGTTATCACTACAATAAGAACAAACAATTCATTAATTTGGCAAACAGGAGAAGGGGCAGTATATTTAGGTTGCACAGGTTGCGCAGGTTGCATCGGTGTGGCCGGTGTATTCTTCCTGTCCAAGGCCATCTCCTTGAGCATTTGGTTCATTGTCACCATCTCTTTCTGCATTGAAGTTGCGATGTCCAATGCCAAGAATCCTGCTGTGTCTTGCTTCTTAGGTGCAGGTTTCGACCTTTGAGAACACCAGAGCTCATTGTGGGATGCTAGGTCCTCCAAAATATCAACTATTTCGTTGAAGGTCTTTTCCATGAAAGCTCCATTTACGGCGTTTTTGAGCATCATCTTAGTGGGATGGTCCAAACCTCGGAAGAAATGCTCAATCTGGATACATGCTGATAATCCATGGTTCGGACACTTCCGCAGCAACTCTTTGAATCTCCCCCATGCCTCGTGAACTGGTTCACGGTCATATTGTCTAAAAGTGACAATCTCTTCCCTGATGTCAGCATGGTGGGTAGAAGGGAAATACTTTGTAAGGAGCTTCTCTACTAGCGAATCCCATGTTATAATTGATCCCGGCGGGAACGAGTTGAGCCATATTCTTGCCTGATCCTTAAGATAAAATGGGAAAAGAGTTAACCTTAATGCATCATCAGTTATATTTGGAAATCTAAATGCACCAGCTATTTGAAGAAAAGTTTTGAGATGATCATGAGGATCTTCGTGTTCACGCCCCCCGAACTGTCCTAATGTCTGAAGCATTTGAAATATAAGCGGCTTCAGTTTGAAGTTGGCGGCTTCTTGAATGGGATTTAGGATGACAGAATCCAAATTCTGAAATGCTGTGGCAGCGTATTCTGGCATGGCCACGTCTCTATTATCTGCCATTAGGATATGATTGAACTCATTGTTTTGTTGTTGACCTGCCATATTTCCATTAACAATTGGTGGATCTGCAGGATTTTGTGGTGGAATCTCGTCCATAAAAGTGATGGTACTTTCACTCTCGCTTTCAAAATCTCTTTCTTTTTCTTTGCTTTTCTCTCTGTTTTCTAAGTCTTTGTTCTTTTCTCAACCTACGACAGGTTCTTTCAATTTCAGGATCAAATGGAAATAGAAATGAATCCGTGCTCATGCACTAATCAATGACCTTCGTGGTTGGAGATAAATCAAAATGTTTGAGAACAGAAATGACAATCACAAAAACTGATCAGAAAAATTAATAAAAGACTAAAACAAATGGTTCCCTGACAACGACGCTAAAAACTTCTTTGGGATTTTGGATACAAAATAAATGAGAGGGCAAGTGTACACCCGTCACAAGTCGTAAAACGGAACAAGTATTCCGAGTATCGATCCTCAGGGACAAATGAAGTCTTTTTATAGGAAATGTTAATGATCAGTGACTTTGTAATTGAATTTGGGGTAACGAATGATAAAGATAATGTTGGTTTTGATATTTAAAAACTCGATGCAATAAACCCAGCCAATTACTTCAAATTAGCTAAAAATAAATTTTCCAACTAGGCGCCGGCGCGTCTCATAAATTTTCCTTGATTTTACTTTGCCATCTTCTTATGTCTAAGCGATTTTGAAGGTTTAAGTACGTTCCTAATATGACTATTAGAAAAAAGAACTTAATTTAGTAAAAACCAACCGTAACCTTAGGTCGAGGTCCTATGTCTAGGCTACCCGAGCAAAATTTTTATGTCTAAAGTATTTCTCTCTAAAGTTAAATCAGTAAAGTTGTGAAAACGTATCAACCCTTTTAGTATTGATGCTTGGTTAAAACATTCATTGGCAAAATCAAGTTTTAACTTATGGAAACAACTTTAAGTGATAAAAAAGGAGAAAAACGCCTTTTGCCTTGTTAGATTTTTAAAACTTTAACTAACTATCCATAACCGGGCTTGGAAAAAATAAATTTAGCTCATGATGATAAAGGAAAAATAGAATTTAATGTTGATGGAAGTAGACGACATGATTAAAAGATTAAAACAAGCTAAAAATGGTATAGTTGTAACCCGAATGGCTCTAACCCGTTCTCTTTCAAGATTGGGGAGCAATACTCGGTCGATTCCTGAAGGTTGAGTGATTACAACTTCGTAATGAGAAAGAGAGAGATAAGAGTAACAAAGAACTTGCTGGAATTTTAATTAAACAAGATTAAAACTTACAATTCAAGACTAACAAGATGGAAATAAAGGGTGAACTAGAAATAAGTAAGGTTTAAAACAATAAAAACTCAAAAACTTAAAGAGGAAACATAACTAAACTGAGAGTAAATGTTAAAGCTGAAATGATCACTCCGGGATGGTCAATGAAGAGAATGGGCTGCTGAATTTATAGGGACATCAAGGTGGTTAGGAAGTTGTGGAGAGCCACCCATTTCAAACACCTTTTGGTTGGTTAATTGTTAAATTGGCAACCTTCAATGCATGGAAGACACGTGGCAGAGCTTGGGAAGCCTTCAAATCACACCAAAACGTGCGTTTTACATTAAGGGCAATCTCGAGATTTGAGGAAGGCGCTAGGCACCTAGCTCAGAAATTTTCTGCACAAAATTGTAATTTCCATTAGAAATCAACTCTAAATGATGTAAAAACGTTCTATGTGCATGTATAACCTAAATAACTTAAAATGGAAGGCTTTGGACACTAAACCAAGCTTAAATCACGGTTTTCGAGTTTAAAACGTTAGAAAACAGCATAAATTTAGCTTCTTTTTACCCTTATGAACAAGGGAAATCACGCATTCATTCACCCATTTGCGTCTCTTTGACAGACGCAACACCTTAAAACTCCAAATTTTTTAGCATACACCCGTTTTTTCTCATTTATTTTAAATTTACTCAAAAATTTTCAAAAAATCCTAAGTTTCAGTTTGAAATTTTGATCAAAAAAATATTATCATATATGTATCAAATGAATTATGAGATATATACCTGGTAGGAAATTGATACAACTTAGAGTATATGTTTACGAACTTTTGTAAAATTATTTCATGGTCGATTTTGTAAATTAAAAAATGGAGATTTAAAAACTTTTCATAATTTATGATATTTTTTATCTATCACGACTAGGGGTGAAAAAAATTCGGGTCAGTTCGGTTTTCGGGTAGGGTTTGAAAAACCGAAATTGGTTCGGTTAGAGATGCAGGAACCGAATCGATTTGTTTCGATTTCGGTTCACCTTCTTTTCTTTTTCTTTTTCTTTTTTTTTGCAAAATTAATTAATTAATTATCGGTTCAAAAATGGCCTTAAAATTCAAACCAAGATCTGGGTTATGTTTTTTCTTTTTTTTTTAGAAAAAAAAAAGTTGGATTCTGTTTTAAAATCATGTATTTGGCACCCACATCATCAAGATTCATAAAAGGAAACCAATTTGTTTTTCTTTCTTCAACAACGCCTAATCTTTAAAAATAAAGAAGAGAAACAATATAGTTCTTTTTGTAAATTAAAAAAAAAACCTCATGAATCTTGATGGGCACGAACAATAATGGTTGAATCATCAATCTTTGACTTTGGCTTTAAGCTCCTTCTTTAATACGAAAATCGAGATTATATATTGTAAGAAAGGAAGAGGAGAAGATTTGGGAAATTGGGGTTTTTGACCCCACCAATAGTTCAAATTGGATAAATGAACCCCTTTTAAAAAAAACCTAATTTTTGACTCCACCTCTACTTAATTTTGAACCCACCTTTAGTGAAAAGACGAATATACCCTTATTTATGATGCATTAACTTCCCCATTAACTTCCACCCAACCATTTCACCAAACTTTTAACCTCATATTTTACTTATGTTTTGAATTTGAAACAGTCCAAAATTTTCACACCATCCAAACTCCTCACAGATCACGTTTTTTAAAATCYTCTAAAGAAACATTGCCACGTGTTTGATCATTGTCCCCACACTATCCAAAATCGTTGTCCCACATTTTCACATTTGAAGAGTTAGAGGTACGTTAACATTAAAATTTCTGAAATGATTTGAAATATTTTCCATTCATACATTTTCACTTGGCTTCTTGAAAAAAGAAAAAAAATGCAGTCGGTATCTCGGACCAAGTATTGTTCCGAGATTGAAGCTTTGAGATCTGGGATTGAATGTTCAATCCCGAACAAATCCAGGTTCAATCCCGGATCGAAAGATGGTGCAGGAATGAACCAGGATATATCCAGGACTAATCTCGAAGCACTGTGGCCCGGGATATGTCTCGGACCAAGACTGGTCCGAGACGGTCAGGGATGACATGTATTTTGTTATTTTTTTACCACTTTTTTTGGACGATATTCTTATCTCACTTGATTTTATCTATTTGCAGGATGTCTCGTGTTTTCATAACATTTGGTGGAGAATGGAAAGATAGTGAAAAAGATTACGTTGATGGTCGCACGAAAGGATTGACAGTGGATAGTACAACGACGTACAGAGAATTTCAAGGTCACGTGTATATATTGAGTAATATAAACCCCCTTCAGTTCGGTATTATAATTAGACGCGTATATCATTTTAAAACTAAAGTTTGTGTAATGGAGATAACTGATGACGATGAGCTGAATTTTTTTTAAACTGGTGATGTATCTAAATTGCCTATATACATATCTACTACGCCAAAGCAGGTACATAGGAATTAAACGTACATGTCTTCTTTCCCATATCATGTAGGCCAAAATGTGCCCTCGAGTTGTATGCCGACAACTTGTATTCCTCAATTCCAGAGACCCACAGATCCAATACCTTCATTTCCTTCCTCATCATCGAACCCCTCTTCTTCCCAACAACCACACCCCTATTACAGGCATTTAGGTCATGATATAGCGGGTTTAACACCATTGGAATCAGATGTTGTTCCATGTAACCTAGGAGATGACAGGGTATGTGATTGGAATGTGCCGGGATTATGGAATGATAATCAAGATGAAAGTGATGAATCATATGACCCATTGGGAGAGTCAGAAGAAGGAGACTATGAAGCAGAATTTGTGAATGATGACTATGATGATGCACTTGATGAAGAGTCTGAGCCCGATGTGGAACAGGTACAAGCTGATTTCGTAGGGATGAAGCAGCGGTCCGACAAATGGGGTGTGATGGTCTCACTGGACTGCCTAATGATGAGAAGTTGCAACTCATAGTACAGTCTTCTGGAACAAATGATGTTAAGGAGGGCGAAGTATTTGATATGAAGAAGGAGTTGAGTTTGAGAATGCATTTAGTTGCAATGCGGCTGAATTTTCAGTTTAAAGTAAAAAAGTCGACACCCGAACTATCTATACTACGCTGCGTTGATACTAGTTGCACCTGGAGACTTCGAGCTACAAAACTGAGGGACTGCAATCTGTTCAAGATAAAAAAATATTATATCATCCATACATGCAATGGTGGAGTTTTGAAACAGGATCATAGGCAAGCCAAGAGTTGGGTGGTCGAACATCTTGTCCAAGCGAAGTTTACAGACTTCTCCCGCACGTATAGACCGAAGGAAATAATACAAGACATGAGGAAGGAGTATGGTGTGAATTTAAGTTATGACAAAGCTTGGCAGTCCAGTGAAGAAGCACTTTGACTTATTAGAGGGAATCCAGCTTCGTCATACGGTCTACTACCAGCTTATGGTGAAACATTAAAAATCATGAACCCAGGTACTATTTTCGAATTGGAACTCAAAGATGAAAAATATTTCAAATATCTCTTTATGGTTTTGGGTCAATGATTAGAGGGTTTCTGGCTTGTATTCGATTAGTGTTGGTTGTCGATGGGGCCCACCTAACCAGATTTACCCGGTTGCATTTGCTATTGTCGACGGTGAGACCGTAGCATCATGGGTATGGTTTATGACTCAATTAAAAGGTGTGTTCGGCGTAGTGAAAAATTTGGTTTTTGTTTCCGATAGACATCAAACCATTTGTAAGGCAATTGACAAGGTATTCCCCACTGCATTTCATTGCTTTTGTATACAACATATTAAGATGAACTTGTTAGCAAAATTTAAAGTCGATGCGAAGGCACTCGAGGAAATATTTCTAAAAGCTGCGAAAGCATATCAAGAGTCTTATTTCAACTCAATCTGGGCTCAACTTGGTGCGTACCCTGGTGTGAGGGAGTATCTGGATGACATTGGGAAGGAGCGTTGGGCTCGTTGTTTCCAAACATTTTTGAGATACACACAGATGACAGTAATAATGTAGAGTCCGTAAATGCCCTCTTTAGACACGCGTGTGGGTTGCTAGTAACTGCTTTATTGGACCATATCAGAGGTCTGTTACAGACTTGGTTCTACGATCGACAGATGCTTGCCTCTTCCAGATCAACCACATTGTCCGACTACGCAGAAAATAAGTTTGCTGAATACTCGGACAGTGCCAGGAGATACGTTGTAGTGAACATTGACCAGTTTCATGTCCAGGTACGTGATGGCAATCTTGACGGGATTGTTGATTTCAACTCTAGGACATGTAGTTGTCGGGAGTTTGATTATTATAAAATTCCATGCTCTCATGCTATTGTCGGGGCGAAGATGCGAAACATAAATCCATACACTCTGTGTGACGAGGCATACACGACGAACTCCTGAGTAATGGCTTATGCAAAACCAATATTTTCAATCGGTCACGTCTCAAAGTGGAACAGTTCGCCTGATTTTGTCGACACACCGGTGGAAGCACCAGATATGGTTCCTAGAGTTGGCAGGAGGTAGATAGTTAGGATTCCTTCCACAGGCGAGGTGCGCCAAACACGTAAGTGCGGTCGGTGTGGTACGTCAGGACACAATCGCAAAACATGTAATGAACCCCTTAACACAGTGTAAATGTATGATCTATTGGTAACTTGTTTTTTCAGAAATTTATATGGTAACTTGTACCTCAAGCAACCAACCATGCATGCATGCATTGGTAACCCTATGTGTTATATTATTATTATTATTAATGGGGAGATTGTATTTTAATGTGTTTCATGTACGATGCTAGAATAATGAACCCATGACATAAAAATAGTATCGAAAATGCATACACTATTCAAAAAATGGGACGATGCGCCCACATCTGTATAGCGTACTGACGCCTAAAATATACAATATTATCTTAGGTCAAAATGTCCATATTTGACCCGGTGGCATCGTACTCGAAATACTGGACACAGAAAATCCTGCAATCAGTCGCGCTACTCTGCTCTGGTACGTGAACCCAACGCACCCTCACGACGCCACTGGCAAGTCGGGTCGAATTGAAAATATCCCGCCATGATGCAGCACCGCAGGTAGAATCGTACACATGGGCTTCAACTCCTTCTCAAGTTCATCTAGTGGAGTGACCGTTTGGAGTGAATTCCATACGGTTATGTTGCCCTCTACAACATCGATGCTGAGCATCACCCAGTGGTTTTCGCCTACGTTCATGGGGGTGTACACGATGTCTGTATAGCTCCAGGCCACGTTGTGGTCCGACTGCCTACCGTAGACATATCGAAAGATGGTATTCTCCGCGCTCCAGGGGTAGTTGATCCTAGTGGACAATACACCCAGCTTCATGGCCGCATATGGACCGTCTGTTTGATTCAGCAAAGTCTGTATAACAGTTGAAAAGTATTTCATTAGTTAAACAATTGATCAAAACAACATTTATTAGTTCGAACTGAAAGAAGTAAAAAGTAATTACCGAAAGAAGTACGTCCTCTATCGCAAACTTCTTGCGACATAAATGGAGACACTTCTCCAACTTTTTCGCCATAAACAAGACGAGACCATCAAGTACGTGTTACATTTAACCAATCTACATTGATGTAATCAAACTATTGACAAATATAGTACTACGAATATAGTAACATGTACTTACTTCGTCCTTCAATTAGACACTAGGGTCCAATAGATCGCGATATCATTCCTTCTTTTGCAAACTAGTTGCAGTGGATAGCAATCTCCCGTCCGTATTCGGGTCATCCATCAATGTCTGGAACTTATTGTCCAACTGCGGCGGAATGAGACATACTGGGTCGTAGCTATCCACAGTGATCCTACGCTGATCGGTTGGTGTGTATATATCCTTCAGCTTCCACGAGTAATGCCTCTTGCGTAGCCCACGCCCACTTGGGGCCTACTGGAGGACATATTCGTCCTGGTCAAGGTAAGGTTCAACCTAAAACACAATACACACATGAGTTCGCATAATGACAGCCGCCAATATGTATATGTATGACATTAAGTTTACTTTAATGACTGCGTCCGATGCCCAGTCCTTGTAGGGACGCCTAACGCGTCGGCTGACAGGTCGCGTATCTGATGGAACATCCGGCTCTTGCATACCAACAGTGACATCCTAATATACAACCAATATTAATCATATTACAATATGAAAACGCAAACGTATACTAGCGTTATAGAAATAGGACTTACCTGAATATTACCGACAGGACGATCGGGGTAAGCATCCGATGCATTGTCCCCCTCCGTTATCGTACCTTGGTCTTCATCCATAAGCATCAGATCCTCGTCCATAATCATCGGATCCTCATCCATATTCTTCAGATTCTCATCTACAACGTTCGGACCATGCTCCATCCGATTCTCGTCGGTCTTAGGGCCCTCTTTCGGCCTCCGGTCCTCGTCCATACTCTTCGGACCTCCATCTGGCTTTGGGGCCTCATCAAGCCTTTGATCCGATGAATCATCATCATTGGGCCCACCCCTACGTCCAAATTATTTGGTCGGATCAGGGAATTTACCCTGTACGAAAAGTACGGACCAATAAGCGTTATCTCGGACCAAACTAATCATAATTAATAACCAAGCATACTTAATGTTATATACATATAAAATGCGTACCTTCGACAGTTTCTTCAGGTATCTCTGGACACCTTTCAGGGCTACCCCAAAACCAATCAGTGTGGCCTTGATAGCACCAACTCGGTCATCGAGCTTCTTCAACCGTCTACTGATCTTATTTTTGAATTTTTTCGTTTCGACTTCTTCTGTARCGCTTGGCTGTCATTTCCACTGGGTCCAGCATCGTCTAATGCAGGACCCTGTAATGCATCATCATCCAATGTCTCGGCCTCTTCTACCGGATCCTCTATGATATTCTTTCCTTTGTCCTTCACCCTTCTTTCCTAAGTACCTCTTTCCAGATCTGCAGGCGGGGTAGGTACAGCCGACAGATTAGGTATAGCGCGGGCTTCCGATGGACGCATAATACGGACCATGTGTTGTRCCTTAACATTCGTCGAAACCAAGTATTCCTTAACATTGGACTGCAAAAAACTTATGATTAGACCGAAATGAAAAAATAAATTTGAATCACACGGCCACAAGATAATTACTTACCATCGTGTTATCGAACACGTCTCTCTGTAGAGTAAGAAACCCGCGAGAATAACTGCACGACCACCTAAGGAGTCGAGGAATGGCGTCGTCGCTCAGCCTCATGGCTACACGCAGACTTAACGTCGATATCGTCTCGTAAGCCCATACCTGGAATCTAGTGAAGTCAAATAAATAATGCATTTAAATAATATATTAGATTATATAGTTGACTTAAAGCTCGCTAACCTGAACTGCGTACGGAAACCCGTAGAGACTATAAGTCTCTTGGTGTGTGGGGTCATTTCTCGCCTTCTGTTGGTACGCCGACAGTTTATCCTTCAGGGCATTCTTCAGGCTCCAAAGTGTTCTTTTGAAAATCAGCGAACTCCAGTCGTGATTGCAGAACAGCTCCCACCTATCCACAACCCCTAAAAGGGTCGTATCTATGAACTGCTTCCTTTCCTTCCCCATCATGGCAAGCTCGACGAAGTAAACTATGCCAACGTTGACAACATCCTCGTCGTCGTAAAAAATTGCCTCCATAAAAATCTTCTCTAACTCCCTACACTTAACCCTGACACTGCCCTTAAAGTAACGTGCTCGAAGTCGTCGGCCAGGGATATCGTTATCTACCCTAATCATCCTATGACTGAGGCCAGTGATTAGGTCAAACTACCGCTTACGAAAGGAGAACCTTTTCCCAAACAGGTCGAAACTAATGATATCCTGCCTAGGCTCTTCAACCTCTCTCAACAATAAATGATGTATTAATGGACCATTAAAAACTACGTCCATGTCCAAAATGGGACCGAAACACGTTTGCCTAAACATGTCTAACTTGCTTAACGTGGCCGGAAACCAGTCATCACGGTTTAGAATTAGTCTCAAATCCATTATATGTCCTATATAAAGGTAAAATAAAAAAAATTAGATAAAAACTAATGCAAGGAACTTAAAAAAAAAACATTCAGTGCAGACCAAATTAAAAAAAAACTTAGCCCAACTTCTGCATTTTGCCTTTCATCCCAGACCAAACCAGGATC